TTAGAGATTGTTTCTCCGTGTTGGTCAGGCTGGTCTTCAATTCCCATCCTCAGGTGATCCACCTGCCTTGGCCTCCTAAAGTGCTGGGATTACAGGTGTGAGACACCGTGCCTGGCCTCTTTTTCTTTTTCTTTTTTCCTAGGCTTAGCTCAGCTGTCTGAGGGACGTAGAACAGACATCCCTTGGGGAGAAAGTTGATTTTGGGGAATGTGCAGATGTGTTGACTGTCCCGTAATTTGAGGTCTGTGGTGGGAGGCATGAGAGCGTTTTGAAAGTGAGAGAATGTCAGAATGAGGAGTTCTCCAGAGTCCAGGAGGCAAAGGGAATGCTCACAGCAGCCTTTAGGAGGCAGGTGCTGCGGTAGTTGGGTAGTTGTGGCAGCGCCTACATAGCCTGTAGTCAGACAGGCGAAAGGAATGTCTGTGGCATGCTAGGCATCTGGGTGCTGGGTGTCCACCCAGGAGGAGCAGAGCTTGTGACCCTCATCTGGGCAGGTGACCAGGAAATGGAGGTAGCAATGTGCTCCCCATCCCCTTTCTGCCCAGCTGTGACGTTGTTGATGTGCTGTCCCTGCGTCAGCTGGGGATGAAGGGAGTGGCTACGCGTCCCTCTTGTAGAAGCTTTTCTGTAATGTGGGGTGGAGTCTGTTCTACCGTCAGAGCAGACTGGCTTTCCAGAGTGCTAAGGGAGGCAGAAGGAGACTTGGTTTCCTGGTGCTGTTGGATAGAGGGACTCAAGTCTGGAAACAGGCCCATGGTTCATCAGAAGAAGCTTAACAAAAGAGTGAAGACTCTATTATTTCCTTCCTGGCTGGCTGAGGGAAGGCACAGAAAGACTGGATTTGAATCCAGGTTCTGCCACTCAGCGATGTGACACTGGAGGAGTTACCTGTCCTGGGTTTCTCTATGTGTTGAAATTGGAACTCAGATAGCTCCGGGTGAGGCACAGGCACACATGCAGTGGCCAGCCCAGTGCCTGGCGTGAAGTTGGTGGGCTGCAGATGTTACAGGGGATGCTCACCTCACTCCCACGGTGCAAGCCAGGGGCAGGTGCGAGGTTTCCAGGCCTTGCAAATGGGAAATTCCCCAGCTTCTTAATAAGGGAGGCTGATTTGCTAGCCTGGAGGGAAGGGGCCCACCATGCTGTGTTCTGGGCTACTTCTGGGCTAACCTAGCATCTGTCACTGGTCTATAAATGGACACGGAAGTGTTTTCCAAAGCACAGGCACTCGGTGTCTTGAATGCCCAGGCAGCCGCACCAGCACCCCTTCCTCCCACCTCAGCTGCATGAGCCCTCTGGGGTCTCTGCCCACTGCAGGTGGCTGAGATTCCGCTCTCCCTTCATCACTTTCTAGGGGCTCAGAATTCAGAGGCCAAATTGCCTGCTGTAGGGTCACATGGTGGTGGTTCAGAAAATAGCCTCCTTCCAACCCCACTGGAAACAAGGAAAAATAAAAAAAAACAGAAAGTAGGCTTTCTGCTCACCACGCCGCATTCCCAGCAGGCTCCATGCGGCAGCCTGGACTCCCGCCCTGCACTGCTCCCTATGTGATGGGCCTGCCAGAGACACGTGGTTGGGCGAATATAATGGCAGATAAATATACTGCCCTTCTCACCACCCGTGGCCCTGTCTGCTGCGTTCTTTCATCGAAGCCTGTTTTGTTTTGTTCTAGTATTTGCCCAACCTTTTAATGCTTTCCGCTTACCACAGTCTTTGACTCTTTGCAATTTTTCTTTCACCGTGACCCTTTTCCTCCCCAGATAAACCAACCGCCGTCCCCTCCCTCTCTGCCTTGCCAAATGTAATTTGTTTTATACAGTATGCCCGTCTCTGACAGCCATCGTTTCTCCCCATCTGTTCTGCATCTCAGAACTCCCCTTGATTGGCAGGAATGGGTTATGTGACCATGGCAGTTTCCAAGGGCAGGGGCATTCAGGTGACCTGCAGTGTGTTTCCTTGAGAGACCTCCTACCAGGCTGGGAATCCGGTGTTGAATTTCTGCCTGGCATTGTCCAGCCTTCCTAGCCGCTCAGAGACACCCAGCTCAGATGATGGTGATCCAAAGCGAGGTATAGTTCCTTTAAATACAGTGGAAAAATTTAAAATTTTCCACTAAAATTTGCCTCTGGTAAGATAGTTCTCAGACCCTTGAAGTTGACTTATTATTTGTTTTCTATCAATATCATACTGTATGTAATGTTTTTTCAGGTAGGAGAGGCTTGGTGAGTAGGAATTATTTTCAGTTTCAAATAAATCTCATTTTGCTTTTCTCATTCCTCTGAAAATTAGCAATACAGGGATGTAAAGAATTGTGCCTGTCTTGCACTATTGTGCACTGTTCTTGCACTGAGAATAGTACTTCACATCATAAGCACTGTATGTTGCCATTATTAGTAACCTTTGCAGTGATGATTGTGCTCATGGATCACCCAGACACACTCTCCCTCTTGCTGCCATCCCCGCCCCATTCACCCGTCTAACACAGGTACTGTATGTCAAACACGCACCATTCTGTGGCTACTCCTTGAATGGTTCACTGAACATTTTAGATGGCTTTACAGAGTTTCTTTCTTTCTTTTTTTTTTTTGAGACAGAGTCACTCAGTCGCCCAGGCTGGAGTATAGTGGCGCGATCTTGGCTCACTGTAACCTCTGCCTCTCGGGTTCAAGCAATTCTCCTGCCTCAGCCTCCCAAGTAGCTGGGACTATAGGCGTGCGCCGCTGTGCCTAGCTAATTTTTGTATTTTTAGTAGAGACGGGATTTCACCATGTTGGTCAGGCTGGTGTTGAACTTCTGACCCCAGGTGATCTGCCCGCCTTGGCCTCCCAAAGTGCTGGGATTATAGGCATGAGCCACCGTTCCCGGCCAGAAATTTCTTAAGAGATACTTCTTGGTCCTGCTCTCCAGTCATCCTCAACCAAAATGAGAACTCTGTGTTTGTAGTCAGCTTAATCAGTTGTGGGGATCACAACTCCCCAGTGTCAACATTAAAGGTTGCAATGTATATTCTTCTCCAAATGTTACTACCTTTGTATCTTGTACTATTTATGTACATGCTGTCATGGTATTCAGGGGATCTCAGAGACTTAGTGATAATTTTGTTTGTTTTGTTTTAGTGGTACTTTGCCTCATGGTGTCACTTCCATTCCAGTTGGGGCAGTGGGAGCAGGGGCAGGTTCTGCTTCAGATCCTGCAGCCTGGAACAAAGCACTGTCCCCCTTTCTTGCTTAATTCCCTCACCTGGTCTGTTTGGACCAGACTGTGTGGAGCTCCAAAGCCCTACACTTAAAAATCCACAGCACCGCCGGGTGCAGTGGCTCACACCTCAAATCCCAGCACTTTGGGAGGCTGAGGTGGGCGGATCACGAGGTCAGGAGACTGAGACCATCCTGGCTAACATGATGAAACCCTGTCTCTCCTAAAAATACTAAAAATTTGCTGGGAGCAGTGGCATGCGCCTGTAGTCCCATCTACTTGGGAGGTTGAGGCAGGAGAAGCACTTGAACCTGGGAGGCGGAGGTTGCAGTGAGCCGAGATCACGCCACTGCACTCCAGCCTGGGCAACAGAGCAAGACTGTCTCAAAAAAACAAACAAAAAAAATCCACAGCACCTTTTTCTCTTTGTTGCTTCTGAAGGAAGGGCTATACTAACACTATCTACTAAGAAATATAATGTGACCCACATATGTAATTTAAAATTTTCTAGTAGCCACATTTTAAAAAGCAGATAAAATTAGTTTTAATACAGTATTGTATTGGCCAGGCACGGTGGCTCACACCTGTAATCCTAGCACTTTGAGAGACTGTGGTGGGTGGATCACGAGGTCAAAGAGATCAAGACCATCCTGGCCAACATGGTGAAACCCCGTCTCTACTAAATATACAAAAAATTAGCTGGGCATGGTGGCGCATGCCTGTAGTCCCAGCTACCCGGGAGGCTGAGGCAGGAGAATCACTTGAACCCAGGAGGCGGAGGTTGCAGTGAGCCAAGATTGTGCCACTACACTCCAGCCTGGTGGCAGAGCAAGACTGTTTCATAAATAAATAAATGAAATAAAGTATTGTGTTTAGCCCAGTAAGTCCAAAATATTATTTCAACATATAATCAATATAAAACAATTATTAGGTCTGGGCACAGTGGCTCATACGTGTAATCCCAGCACTTTGGGAGGCCAAGGTGGAAGGATCGCTTGAGGAGTTCAAGATTAGCCTGGTCAATATAGTGAAACCCCATCTCTACAAAAAATGTCTTTAAATTAATTGTGTGTGGCGGCATGTGATCTCTGTAGTGCTAGCCATTCCAGAGGCTGAGGCAGGAGGATTGCTTGAAGCCAGGAATCAGAGGCTGCAATGAGCCATGATAGTGCTACTGTACTCCAGCCAGGGTAACAAGAGTGAGACCTTTCCTCTAAAAAACAAAAAAGAATTATTAGTGAGATATTTTGCATTTCTGTTACTAAGTCTGAGATTTGGTGTGTATTTTACACTTACAGCACATCTCCCTTGGACTAGCCACATTTTGAGTCCTCAGTAGCCAGTTGTGGCTAGTAGCCACCTTCATGTCATGGGCAGCACAGTTCTGTTGATGACCTGAAGTCGTAAGATTTCAGGATCCATAACCCCCATCCTTCAGCCTCTTTGTTTCGTGGCTGGAATTTATAAGCATGGACTTAAAAGAGATAATTACAATTGGAGTCTTTTTTAAGACTTGATTTGTTCATGTAATGTTCCCATGGCTCAGTAAGTGGCTGTCAGTGGATGCTATAAGACATGTTCTGCTCACATAAAGTCTTGGAGAAGAGCTCCCAGCAGGGATGCACAAGGTCTGGCTGCTCTGAGTGTCTGCAGAGAAAATTAGGAGGACACATGCTTCCACAGTGCTGTGCTGCTCTGTTACCTAGAGCCGGGGTTGGGAGGGTAAGAGGATTTTCTGTGGGTAGAGAAAATAAAGAAATAAATCAAGCAATAAGTCAATACATTGTCTTTGTCTTTTTATTTAGTGGACTAGAAGATGAACTCAACTGAATTCACCGAAGATGTAGAAGAAGGTAAAAAAAAAAAAAATGCCCTTTTTAGAAAATGTTTTTAACTGAATACTTTTGATTAGGTCATACATTCACATGGTCCAAAAATATACAAAGTTATATAGTGAAAAGTCGCCTCCACCCTCACACTTGTTACCCAGTTCCCATCCCCCTCCACCCACACACTTGTTATAAGCACCTTGTGTCTCTTTTTAAAAGTTACTTTTTTAAAGCACAAAAAGATAATATTTTAGTTCTCTGCTTCCACTGCCTTCCCTCCCCAAAAATATGTTTAAACCAATTTGAACTAAATGCTCTTGGAACATGGCTTTATTGTATAGCACTAGCGCAGTGAGATAAAGATTGCATTGTTGGAAAGCACAGGTTTGTTATGACTAGACATCATTATCTGAGGGCTGGTGTCAAAGAGCGGCCCACAGACACCCTGCTGCTCGGAGAACCCTGCTGATTTCTGAGCAGCCCTGGTTTTTCCCACTGAGCCCTATTTCTTCTCTGACACAGTTCTAAAAAGTATCACTGTGAAAGTGGAGACGGAGGCCGAGGATGCTGCTCTGGACTGCTCCGTGAATTCCAGGACTTCGGAGAAGCACTCTGTGGACAGCGTTCTCGCTGCCCTGCAGGACTCCAGCAAACGAAAGCAGCTGGTCAGCGATGGCCTGCTAGACTCTGTCCCCGGCGTGAAGAGGAGGCGGCTGATCCCCGAGGTGAGGGCCCGGCCACTGTCACTCTTTGCTTGAGCTCTAACCCTCTCTGATTCCATGCTGAATCTCCCTCTTCTTTTGCCATCCCAGCAGCTGCTGAACCCTTGGGCATGGGAAGGTTTCATTTAAGCTGTCCCATCTCTGGCTTCAGTTTCTCGAAGGTGTCTGTCTTTAACTGGAATTCTTGTTTGTGTTTGGATTCCTGGTGGGTAAAGGGAGCCTTCACATTGCAGCTGCTTTTGCGTTATTTTGCTGTGCTTTGTGGGGGAAAGCAGGAGTTTGCTGATAGAGAGGACGGTTAACGTAAGCCTACCACACTTGACATAGTAGCTGATTCTTGCAAAAGTGGGGCATTAGCTGGAGGTCAGGTCTTTTCCTAAATTAAATCGATCATTCATTTATTTAAATAGAGACTGGATCTCACTATATTGCCCAGGCTGATCTTGAACTGCTGGCCTCGAGTGATCCTCCTGACTTGGCCTCCCAAAGTGCTGGAATTACAGGTGTGAGCCATAGTGCATGGCCAACTCTTTGTTTAATTGGTTTGTTTTAATTCTCCCCTGTTGGATGTTAGGGCAGATCCAAACAAATTGGGAAGTTATACATGTTAGGGATTTGGTTAGGCTTTAATTTGCATAATGATGAGACTAAAATTTTAACCAAGATTTAAATACACATGTTTATAGTGAGGCCCGACATTCCACATCATGCAACATTGAGTGATAGGTTTGTTGGGTTTTTTTTTGTTTTTTTCTTTTTGTTTTTTTTTTTTTTGAGATGGAGTTTTGCTCTTGTTGCCCAGGCTGGAGTACAGTGGCACGGTCTCAGCTCACTGCAACCTCTGCCTCCTGGGTTCAAGTGATTCTCCTGCCTCAGCCTCCCGAGAAGCTGAGATTACAGGCATGCGCCACCGTGCCCAGCTAACTTTGTATTTTTAGTAGAGACGGGGTTTCTCCATGTTGGCCAAGCTGGTCTTGAACTCCCGACCTCAGGTGATCTGCCCGCCTTGGCCTCCCAAAGTGCTGGTATTACAGGCATGAGCCACTGTGCCTGGCGATGAGTGATAATTTTGTTTACTATCTTATTTATTCAGTTTTTTTTTTTCTTTTTTTGTGTGCTAACTCTTCATTCTGGTCTGAATGGCTTTTCTTTTTTAAACGACTTTGTTTCTCTAATTTATTTGGGTTAAAAAAATTTTTTTTTTGGCCGGGCGCGGTGGCTCAAGCCTGTAATCCCAGCACTTTGGGAGGCCGAGACGGGCGGATCACGAGGTCAGGAGATCGAGACCATCCTGGCTAACACGGTGAAACCCCGTCTCTACTAAAAAATACAAAAAACTAGCCGGGCGAGGTGGCTGGCGCCTGTAGTCCCAGCTACTCGGGAGGCTGAGGCAGGAGAATAGCGTAAACCCGGGAGGCGGAGCTTGCAGTGAGCTGAGATCCGGCCACTGCACTCCAGTCTGGGCGACAGAGCGAGACTCCGTCTCAAAAAAAAAAAAAAAAAAATTTTTTTTTTCTTTGAGACGGAGTTTCACTCTTGTTGCCCAGGCTGAAGTGCAATGGCGTGATCTTGGCTCACCGCAACCTCCGCCTCCCAGGTTCAAGTGATTCTCCTGCCTCAGCCTCCCGAGTAGCTGGGATTACAAGTGTGCGCCACCACACCCGGCTAATTTTTGTGTTTTTAGTAGAGATGGGGTTTCTTCATTTTGGTCAGCTGGTCTTCAACTCCCAACCTTAGGTGATCCGCCTGCCTCAGCCCCCCAAAGTGCTGGGATTACAGGTATGAGCCACCACACTGGGCCCAAAACAACTTTATTAAGATATAATTCACATACTATGCCTTTCACCAATTTAAGTTACATAGTTTAATGTGTGGGTTTATTTATTTATTTTTTTTTGTCTGAGACAGAGTCTCACTCTGTCACCCAGGCTGGAATGCAGTGGCGCAATCTCAGCTCACTGCAATGTCTGCCTCCTGTGCTCAAGCGATTCTCCCACCTCAGCCTCCTGAGCAGCTGGGATTACACGTGTGGACCACCACGCCTGGCTAATTTTTTATTTTTTGTAGAGATGGGGTTTCACCATGTTGGTCCAGGCTGGTCTCAAACTCCTGACCTCAAGTGGTCTGCTGGCCTTGGCCTCCCAAAGTGCTGGGATTACAGGTGCGAGCCACTGCGCTCAGCACTAGTTTAATGGTGTTTAGTATATTCACAGAGTTATGCAATTTTAGGACATTTTTATAACCTTACAAACAGTCCCTGCCCATTAGCAGTAGCTCCTCATTCCCTACTTTTCCAGCTCCTGACAATCACTAATGTACTTTCTAAGGATTTGCCTATTGTGGGCATTTCATTTTTATTTTTAATTGATTGATTGACTGATGGATGGATGGAGTTTTGCTGTGTGGCGCAGGCTTGGAGTAAAGTGGCATGAGCTCAACTCACTGCAACCTCTGCCTCCTTGGTTAAGCAATTCTCCTGCCTCAGCCTCCCGAGTTGCTGGGATTACAGGCGGACACCACCACACCTGGCTAATTTTTGTATTTTTAGTAGCGATAGGGTTTCACTATGTTGGCCAGGCTGACCTCAAACTCCTGACCTCAAGTAATTCACCCGCCTCGGCCTTCCAAAGTGCTGGGATTACAGGCGTGAGTCACTACGCCCGGCTAATTCTAGCCATTTCATGTAATGTAATCATATATTCTGTGGCCATTTGTGTCTGACTTCTTTTTTTTTTTTTTTTGAGACGGAGTCTTGCTCTGTCGCCCAGTCTGGAGTGCAATGGTGCGATCTCGGCTCACTGCAAGCTCCGCCTCCTGGACCCACGCCATTCTCCTGCCTCAGCCTCCTGAGTAGCTGGGACCACAGGCGCCCGCCACCACACCCGGCTAATTTTTTGTATTTTTGGTAGAGATGGGGTTTCATCGTGTTAGCCAGGATGGTCTCGATCTCCTGACCTTGTGATCCGCCTGCCTCAGCCTCCCAAAGTGCTGGGATTACAGGCCTGAGCCACCGCGCCCAGCTGTGTCTGACTTCTTAGCATATGTTTTCAAGGTTCATCATCTATGTATCAGTACTTCATTTCTTTTTGTTTTAACAGACTTGATTTTATAGAGCAGTTTTAGGTTCACAGAAAAATTGAGCAAAAGATACAGATTTCCCATGTACTTCCTTACCCCTACATGTGTATAACCTCCCCCATTGTCAACATTCTATACTAGATTGATACATTTGTTACAGCTGATGATTTCCCATTGACACATTATCGCCCAAAGTCAGTAGTTTACATTAGGGCTCACTCTTGCTGTTGTATTGTCTGTGGATTTGGACAAATGTATATACCATTTGTAGTGTCATACAGAGTAGTTTCGGTGTCCCAAAAATCTGTTATGCTCTGTCTGTTCATCCTTCCCTCCCACATAACCCCCAGCAACCACTGATTTCTTTACTATCTCCATACTTTTACCTTGTCCAGAATGTCATGAAGTTGGAATCATACAATATGTAACCTTTTTAGATTGGTTTGTTACACTTAGCAATATGCATTTGAGTTTCCTCCATGTCTTTTCATGGCTTGATAGCTCATTTTCTTTTAGCACTGAATTATATTCCATTGCCTGGATGTATCACAGTTTATTTATTCATTTACCTACTAAAGGACATCTTGGATGCTTAGATGCTTCCAAGTTTTGGCAATTATGAATAATGCTGCTATAAACATCCATGTATAGGTTTTCTTGTGGACATAAGTTTTTAGCTCCTTTGGATAAACACCAAGGAGTGTGATTATGTTTAGTTTGGTAAAAAACTACCAAACTGCCTTCCAAAGTGGCTGGACCATTTTACAGTCCAACTAACAAGTTCCTCTTGTTCCACATCCTTGAAAGCATTTGCTGTTGTGAGTGTTCTGGGTTTTGGCCAGTTTAATAGGTATGTGGTAGTATCTTGGCTTTTTGTTTGTTTGTTTGTTTAGTTTAAAAAAAAATTTTTTTTGTAGAGATGGGGGTGGTCTCACCATGTTGCCCAGGCTATTCTCAACCTCCTGGCCTCAAGCGATCCCCTTGCCTCAGCCTCCTAAAGTGTTGGGATTACAGGCATGAGCCACTGTGCCCAGTGGTTGTGTTTTTATGTTGTTGTTTGAGACACGGTCTCTCTGCTGCCAGGGTGGAGTGTAAAAGCAGTGGCCCAGCTAGGTGTGGTGGTTTGCACTTGTAATCCCTGCACCTTAGGAGACTGAGGTGGGTGGATTGCTCGAGTCCAGGAGTTCCAGACCAGCCTGGGCAATGTGGCAAAACCTTGTCTCTACAAAATAATTAACCAGGCGTGGTGGCACACACCTGTAGTCCCAGCTACTCGGGAGGCTGCAGTGGGAGGATCACCTGAGCCTGGGAGGTCAGGGCTGCCGTGAGCCATGGTTGTGTCACTGCAATCCAGCGTGGGTGACAGAGTGAGACCCTGTCTCCAAAAAAAAAAAAGCAGTGACACAGTCAGCTCACTAATCGCAAACCCCTGGGCTCAAGGGATCCTCCTCTTTCAGACTCCCAAGTAGCTGGGAGTACAGGCATGCCAGCACCATGCCTGGCTAATTGCTAATTTTTTTGTAGAGATGGAGTTTTTTGGTCGTTTTATTTATTTATTTTTGAGACGGAGTTTTGCTCTTGTTGCCCAAGCTGGAATGCCATAGTGCGATCTTGGCTAACCTCAACCTCCGCCTGCTGGGTTCAAGCGATTCTCCTGCTTCAGCCTCCAGAGTAACTGGAATTACAGGCACGCGTCACCACACCTGGCTACTTTTGTGTTTTTAGCAGAGATGGAGTTTCTCTATGTTGGTCAGGCTGGTCTTGAACTCCCAACCTCAGGTGATCCGCCCCCCTCAGCCTCCAAAGTGCTGGGATTACAGGCGTGAGCCACCACACCCGGCTGTTGTTCTCTTAATTTGTGCTTCCCCGACAACATATGATGTGGAGAATCTTTTTATATGCTTATTTGCCAGCAGTATAGCTTT